CAAAGGTGGGGAAATTACTAGAGAGTAATACTGGTCAAATTATGTGTTATATGCATGCACAAATAGGATACAAGAAAACTCACTATTCTGTATAATTCACATGCACCAATAAATAAATTTTAAAAATTTTTATAAAATATTTAAATAGATGCTCAACATATCATCAGGTAATTGCAAATTTAAAAATAAAACAATGAAATATGTGTTAGTCAGCTTTTCTCTACTATGACCAAAATACCTGAGAAGAACAACTTAGAGGAGGAAAATTTTATTTGAGGCTCAGGATTTCAGAAATGTCAGTCCATAGCTGACAGACCTCATTGCTCTGGGCTCCCAAGTTGAGGCAGAACATCATGGTCAAAGGTTCTGGCAGAGGAAAGCTATTCACTTCATGGCAACCAGGAGGCAGAAAGAGAAGGGGGAATGGGTTACAAGGAAGACAAACCCTTCTAGGACACGCCCCAGTGACCTACTTCCTCTAGTGACCTCCACTCCCTAGAGTTACCATTCTGTTATTCCATTCAAACTAGAATGGATTGATTTGGTCACAGCTCTTATAATCTAATCATTTCAACTCTGACTATTCCTGCATTAATCCAGGAACTTTTGGAGGACATTTCGTATCCAAACCATAACAAGATACTACTGCACACCTATTAGAATTGCTAGAATCCAAAAACAAAACACAACAAAATAAGCCTATTGATAACCAAATGTATTTGAGGATATGAAGAAACAAAACTCTATTGCTAGTGAGAATTCAAAGTAGTATAGCCATTTTGGGAGATGGTTTGGCAGTTTCTTACATAACTAATCATAGTCTTACCACACATTCAGCAATTATAGTACTCATTTATCCACTAACCTAACAAAAATTTATGTATGAATAAAATCCTACATAATCAGTGTGTACAACAGTTCTATTCATAATCACTCAAAAGTGAAAGCAACCAAGACAACCTGAGGTGTATTACAGTAATGTACATCCACACAATGGAATATTATTTAACAATAAAAAGAAATGACTTTTCAAGCTACAAAAGGACATAGATAGATCTTAATTCATATTTCTAAGCAAAAGCAACTCCAAAAAGGCTACTAGACAATTTCAAAGAGAAGACATTCTGTAAATAGTAAAATTATAGAAACAATAAAAAAACACAAAGGTCAATAGTTGCCAAAGATTCAGAGGGAGAAGAGTAAGATATATAGGTGAAATATAGGGTATTAATTTAGAGAGATAATCTACTAGTTCTGATATCTTATAGATAGATAAATGACATTATGCCTTCATCAAGATCCATGAAATTCTGCAGTCCAAAGAGTGAATGCTAATGGATGCAAAAATTTTAAAAATAATTTAGGAAACTGCACAGGATCGAGTGTAGACTATAAAAGGGTAATCGAATTACATTACCAATATATGAAACAACTGCATTAAAGGGGATGGGTGAAAGTGAATGGAGTCTGTGAGATTAAAGGCAAAAAACAACAACACATAAACACTGCACTCTGGTTCATAAAGTTTTTGCCTATATGCATATGAGATAAAAATTCTGATACTCTTAAAGAGATATATTGAAGTTTAAAATTAGGTATATTGATGATTGCATAATGAGAACCAGGTTTAAGAGGAATTTTACAAGTAAGTGGAGTACACTAGAATTAGCTCTATGTGTTAACTGATTATAGTTAGAAACATCAGTATCGACATGTTTACCGTAATATTGATACCAATCATTTCAAATAGAAAGATTTATTGATATGTGCACACACCTAGAACAATCTTAAGCCAAAACCCCAAATCCAAAACACTCCCCAAACCTGAAGCTTTTTGATCATCATGTCTGTATGCAAAAAGTTTCAGATTCTCAGCATTTCAAATCACAGATTTTTTTATTAGAAATGCTTGATCAATACCCTATGCAAATACTCCAAAATCTGAAAAACTCCAAAATTTAAAACACTATGATCCTCAAACATTTTGGATAAGAGATATTTAACCTGTGTAGTGCTCAATATATACACATATATTTTGTTTCTCTATCAAGTGGAAGTTTCTGAAAGTAACATCCTTCAGCAACAAGCATAGCAATCCTATGGCAAACTAGCATCTAGATCTTGATGTCTACAATACAAGAAATCAGGGCTCCTTGAAGAAACATTCAATTCTAGGACTGGGGTAGGAAATATAGAAGATGAACTGAAGCATTATGTAGTTTTCAGGAAATACAAAAACACTCTACAAAGAAAATTTTGAAGGGTTATGTCAAAGGGACATAGGAGCCAACAAGAGTTCCTAATGGTTACAAACTGAAACAACTGGAGCACCAAAATTCATAACTATTAAATTATAAGTCAAGTACAAGACAAAATACAATCAATATAACTCAAACATGAAAGAAATAAATGAACAATAGATATATGAAAATATCTAACATTTATTTATAATTATTAGAACATTAGTAATTGAGGGGAATTGCCTACATTTGATTAAGGATATCTACCAAAAAAAAAAAAATCTACTGCAGCTGGGTGCTGTGATTCATGTTTGTAATCCTAGTGACCTGGGTGGCTGAGGCAGGAGGATGGCAAGTCTTAGAATTTTAGCAAGACCCTTAGCAACTTGGTGAGATCCTGTGTCAAAAAATAAAAAAGGTCTGAGGATGTAGCTTAGTGGAAGAGCACTAGAGCACCACTGAGTTCAATCTCCAGTACAAAAAAAAAAAAAAGTGGGGTGAGGTGGGGGGGAGATCTACTACAAACATTGTATTCAATGATGAAATACCAAGTTTTCTTCTGAGATTGAGTAGAGGCAAGCATATTTACTGTAATCACTTTTTTTCAACATTAAACTGGAACTCCTAGATAATACAAAAATATAAGAAGGAAAAAATATTAAAAAGTAAGAAATAAAAATGTCATTATTGTTTGACATCACACTGAATAAACTGCATGTGAAAAAATCCAAAAGAAATAATAAGTAAATTTAGCAAGTTTGCTGAATACTGGGCCAATACACAAAACTCAATTGCATGTCTCTGTATCCCTCAAATAATAGAAAATGTTTTTAAATGACATCTATCAATAATTCACTATAGCCTCAATAAATATCAAACATGAATAAATCTGGAAAAGATGGATAAGATCACAAAACAAAACTATAAAACTTTATTGACATGCATTGAAGAAGATCTAGAGAAGAGGCAACATTTTGATCAAAGATTGACTCAATAGATTATTGATACATAAATTCAATGCATCCCTGTTAATGTTCAGATGTGGTGTTCCCCAAAAGCTCACATGCGAGACAATATAAGCTTTGGAAGAGAAATGATTGGGCCATAGCCTTAACCTAATCAGTGAATTGATCCCTGATGGAATTAATTGAGTGGTAACTGGAGGCAGGTGGGGTGTGGCTGGAAGAAGTGATTCACTGGGGGCTTGGCTATGGGGTATATATTTTTATCTGGCAAGGGGAGTCTCTCTCTGCTTTCTGATTGCCATGTGAGTTGCCTCCCTTTGCCACACTCTTCTACCATTATGTTCAGCCTCACCTGAAGCCCAAAGGAACAGAGCCAGCCTTCTATGGACTAAGACCTCTGAAACCATGAGCCCTCAAATAAACTTTTCCTCCTAAAATTGTTCTGGTCAGATCCTTTAGTCACAAAAGCAAAAAATCTGACTAAAACAATCCTTTCCTACTACCACTAAAAACACACACACACACACATACACACACACAAAACAGGTTTTTGAGGGTGGAAATTGACAAGCTGACTAAAATTTATACAGAAATGCAAAAGCTAAAGGATAACTAAGAAATCTTGAAGATCAAAATTGGAAGACTTAAATCATTCATTATGAAAATGTTTTATGAAATTAAATTTGGAATTCATGAAAAGATGTACAAACAGAACAATGACACAAAACCAAGTCCAAAACCAGCATATATATTGATAGTAGTGACAATAGTGAGTAGCAGTGAAAAAACTATATTCTTTTCCAATGGTAATACATCAACTAAATATCCACATAAATCTTGAAGTCTATATTACAACCTTCACAAAGGGTTTATTGAAGATCTAACTTCAATAAAATACAATCAATATAATTCAAACTTGAAAGAAATAAAGAAAATCTTATAATGAACAATATACAAAGGCCAAACAACCAGGCTTTGTGAAGATCACAGAGGAGAATATCTTCAGGATCTCAGGAAGAGAAAGATGTCTTATGATTGATAAAATGAACCACATTAAAATTAGTAACTTCTGTTCATCAAAAGATACTCTGAAAGGTCATTGAATGGACGATGATGCTGGCAATACATATAACCAACAAAAATAATCTTATGTAGAACATGTAAAAAAAATCTACAAAACAATAAGGGGAGAAAAAAAAAGATGCTCAATAGAAAAATGGGCAAGAGATCACAGCAAAAACTATAAGAACTAACATGTAAAAAGATCTCATTAATCCTTATGAAATTATGAAGTAAATCCAAAATATGAGTCGATAGTACATGTGAAACTCTTAACACAATGATGTGAAAAAAGTAAATCAGTACAATTACTTTGTAAAATTTATTGTTGATATCTTCTAAAGCTGATGTACATAGAGATCTATGAAAGAGAAGTGACTCTGAAAACTGTACATAACAGAAACACCCAAACATACAAACATGCATGATCTTTGAGATTTTTTATAAAAGATCATTAAAAAAAAAATTCCCTCTCCCAAATTAATACCATGAAACTTATTTCTAAATGACTTATTTCTAATTTTACTGAATGGACTACAAAATTCCCAAAGGAGGTTGTTTCCAAAGGAGGTTCATAAAATAAACACATAGATAATTTGTTAAGAACTTTTGCATGATGGAGATAAACAGGTTTTGAATCACAAATTTAATCAATGAGGCAAAATTCAAAAACATTTAAAAATATCTACGACTATTCATTGACACTTCATAAAAGAAAAATAATACATAACAATACCTTGATTAATGAATCTTCTGAGAATGAAGCTCCTTTAAAATGAAGTCATTGACATTAAAAACAAAACAAAACAGAATAATTCATAAATTGGGTGAAGTAGTTGGTGTGATCTTTTCCCCCCTAGTCTGTATTTCAGTAGCAATCAGAATATAAATCATTCCCTTACACATCTTGTCTGAATCTATACATAAAGAGGTATTAAGGCTACCAATTTGCAAAATCCTAAATTTAGTAAGCTTTCTATGTTAAGACCCTTGCCACCCATTTCTGTAGCCATTTCTCCAGGGTAGAGCAACTATTCCCTCTCTTGAGGAAAACTACTGTCCTATTTTTAGCCTGTTCTCCTTTATCAACATGGTGAAGAATAGGTTCTTGAATAATTGTTTACCATTCTTCCATGATCACTTCAGTCACTATTTTCAGCCACTCAATTATACCACCTAAACAAATTTACATTTGTAGGCAAAGGGAATTTGGGTTATAGTCAAATGGGAAATAACCAATCTCAAAATCAAATTATACAAAATACTGGTCAAGAAGGTAAGCTTTAGCTAACATCTTATAGGAGGCATGGGTGTAGATGGACATATGGAAACAGTTTTCCCAAGATCAGCCTTTACTTAGCTGAGAAAAAACAAAATGGAAACTAATCTGGTTGTAACTGTCAAAAAAAAATTTCTTGGGTTCTGCCACTGAACAATTTCATATGTCTGAAACTTTTTCAGGTTCCAGACCTATCTAACTTCGTAAAATTCTTCTTAGGTACTTTCTTATTGAAAGACATTCTCTAACTTTAATGTAAAAGGTATCTCTCCCACAGATTTCGTTTAGTCCCTCCAAATGTATATCTCATCATCCCAGTACATGCAATTTTGTGGTATCTTTCCTTTTTCTGAAGTCCTGAAACACATCTCCATGTCTCTTACGTTATTTCTACCTCTGGTAATGGAATTTCTGACAACAAAGTATGTCCCTGGAACACATCCTCTTCAGTACCAGTAGAATACATATTTTGAAGAAGAGTAAGATACAAGTACAGCTTGGATCTGTAGGTGAAGGAGATAAGTGATAAGACAGAATAGTAAAAATGAAGAAATTTTAAAAATTTGAGTATTACAGAAAAAAATTACAGCTCCTGCTGTACATTTCCATGAAGGGCTTTGCTAAAAAAAAGGGGGGGGAGAAAACACTAAAATTAAGATATTAAAAGAAGCTAATCTATTACTTATGCATATTTTAACAGAGTACTTTTGGAAACGAAAATTAATTTTTTACTTTAAAAAATGTGATTAACATTTTCACCTGATTACCCTTGTCAAAGAAAATTCCAAGGAGGCAATACTCAGCTTGTAGCACAGATTCAGTCATTAAGGTCTTAATATTGCTGGCTAGCTTCCCCTAGAGTTCTGTCTACAAGTCAAATCTGTCCGAGTGAATTGATGAGAAAGGCATAAAACAATATATTCTATTAAGTAAAATATACTATTAAGTAAAATATTTAAGATTTTTAATGTAGCTCAATCACCTAGCAGTTTAAGATCATTAAAATGATGCCTCCCAATGGGATTGTCACAGGACTCAAAAGTGATTTTTGTTAGAACCAAACAACTAAATTGTATAAATTAGTGTGGATGGTTAAAGAGTTTGTGGCATATATCCAACGATTTATATTATCTAAAAACCATGCGTCAAAAACAAGAGGAATAAAGATGAGAAAAAATTAAATTTGTGAAAATTTCCACAAAAGATATTAAGGAAATACTGTACTAAGTGATATGGAGAAAAGTTTGAGGAAGGGAAAGCATTGAGGAAACTGGAGGGAAAGGGAATAACTGTGTAAAGGTTTGAGAATAATTCTGGAAAAATATTCTACGACACCCCAATTACAGAATATAAAAAAGAATTAAAATTCAAGACACTTCTTTTTATAGTGAGAGGAAAATCTGTAATTAAGATGGAGAAATATTTTAAACACCTGGAAAACGCAAGCAAGGAAAAACCAATTGCTTTCAACTCTTCCTTCCCATCAGTATTTTAGAGGAGCCCGATGCATCCTCAGCTCAGAGTATCCACTAGGAATCCATCCCTTACCCTGATCTCAAGACTGTAACTTCTCTATCCTTAGCCACAGCCTAAATCTGATTAAGCAGCTACGATATTTTCTACCTCGTCGCTATTAAAAGCACACACCAGGCGGGTATACAGGCAAGGCACATTCGGGATTCCCCTTCTGTAATTTAAGTTAAAAGGGTGAAGAGACAGACCTGCTCTTTCGCCTCCACCCGGGGTCTCAGTGAGGAAAGCAGAGAGAGGCGACCTCTGTCCAAACTAGTGCGCAGCCCCGCAGTCTCCCTCGGGCTCACCCGGCAGCCCCCGAGCAAAGAAGACCTCTAGCCTAGCAGGACAAGAAGGGGAGAAAAGGCATCTGTAACCGGAGCCCATCACCGGAACTAGTCTCCAGCAGGTACTCCCTCAAGGCCAGAGCTGGAGTCCCAGCGCGCTTCTCGCGCCGACCGTTTGTGTTGGAAGAACAAGTTCGAGCCCGCCGCGCACCGCGGCAAGATCTTCAAAGCGGCGGGCTCCTTGGCGCTCTAGGATTCCTCGCTGCAGATTCCATGGCCCGTTCGTCCAGACACTGAGGTAACTTGACTCTGCAGAAGGCCTCCTCAACGGCCAATGCGATATTATTTTGCAGATTATTAATCAGTATAATTTAAAAGGTCAGAATAGCTCGGACTAAGAAGCAAGAAACAAGGAATCTGTAGCGAATCACAAACAACGGGAATTAAAATGCTTCTTCTTTAAGGGTCAGAACCCGAACGTCACTTCCGGCAACAATAGGAAACGTCAAAACTGGGACAGTCGGCAGCTCTGGCTTCTGCAGCTTGAGGTGCTCCGAGTTCACACTGGTGTAGGGCTGTTTCTGATACTCTCGCCACCGTCATCTTCACCGGCGTGAAGTAGTAAAGTTTGGACACACTTCTCCATGGCCTGGGCATCAGTTCCTGGCTGAGCCATTTTCATTTTGGCTTAAAGCCCCCGCCCAGAGGCCGATTCGTCGCGGCGGCGGTGGAGATCGCAGGTCGCTCAGGTACTAGCATCAGCCTAGATATTTTATATCTATTTATCTCTTTTGCCTGTTTATCCTCACTTTTCTTCACGGAAATAAAGACAGCCAGTGCTTGCCAGTTGGCAGAAATTGGCCGATCTGTAAGAGTTTACGACCAATGACAATGTAATGTATCTTGAGTGACAGCAGTGGTGGCTTATTAAAGTGAAGAATCAGTGCCATAAGGCGGGAATGGGCGTTCCTTCTGTTTCTAGGCCATTGGGGTATAGGTCAGCTTGGGACCCCAGTTGGTGACCCAGCCTCATTTCGAAATAAAACCGAGAAACAGCAAGGGTTACTTTATTTAAGCCCAAGTGTTGCTTTTAGGTGTTACTTGGGTGCCTTACCACATTTTTTGGTTCTTTTATGAATGCAATTGCAGTTGACGTTACAACAAGCAAATTTTGGTATAAAATTTGTTAAGGTTTTAATTCGTCTTTTTTTGTTTTGTTGTAACTGGGCTCTAATCTCTCACATGATGCATAATAAATGTTATTCATTGGACAAAATTACATGAAAGAATTCCAATTCTCTGTCATTTGACTTTTTTGGTTTTATTTTAGGTTCTGTGTGTCTAATAATTGAGTCTACTTGTTTTACAACCATAGTTTTTATTTTTAAGGATTCTAGGTGTTTCTCCCTGGGTTAATTAATCATGACCTTTTATTGCAAGTGAAGCCAATTTGTTTTCCATCTCAGCATTTCTTCCTCTTTTAATGTTTGGAGTGTGGTAACTATATTTCTAAGATAAGAGGTCATCCCTCCATAAAAATGACTTACAAATATGTCAGGTTTCAGAATGAAGAATAAACAGGTTTTGTTATATTCTTCAGGTTGATTCATAAAATTTCATTTTTGTCTAGTTAACTTTGTTATCTATTGCTGAGTAACAAACTATGACCCTTATTTACCCCAGCTTAAAACAACAAACATCTATTATCTCAGTTTCTGTGCCTCAGGAATTAGGGCTCAGGTTGTTTTATGAGTTTCCATCAAGCTGTAATTAGGGGTTATGATCTCATCTGAAGGCTCCTCTGAGGTGAAGAAGACTCCACTTCCAAGTGCATTTATGTGGATCTTGGCAAATCTAAGTTCCCCACTTCATGAATGTCTTCAAAAGGCTGCCTCACATAATGTGGCAGCTGGCTTCCCCCAGGGTAAACAATAGAGAGAGCATCCAAAACAGAAGGTTGTGGTCTTTCATAACCTAATCTCAGAAGTGATATTCCGGTCACTATTGCCATTTTGATTTGTTAGGAGTGAACCATTAAGTATGACCCAAAATGGAGAGGGAAGGGATTACACAAGTACATGAATCCCTAAGACAGGGATCACTGGGTGCCCTTTTAGAGACTGCCTAACATAGATACCCTGGCTGGTAACTTTCAAGAATTAATAGATAAGAATAACTGAGCAAAAAAATGTGTCCAAGAGAAATGCAGTCTGACAAGGAAAATTTCAGATTGTAAAGAAATAAACAAAGTTGTACTAATATTATCTCTCTTGGAAAAAGTTTTTATCTTTTTTCATACTAATTATCTAAAGAGGCATACTTTATATTTTTCTTGGAATACTTTGAGAGATGATATGTGTGAGAAGATCTTTTTGTTTAGGGTCTACATAAACAGAGCATATACCTACAAGAGATTGTGTGTATCTTACCCACTGCCCTTTTTGTATGGTTGAAATTGGCTCAAAATAAACATGAGCAAAGATGGCTTTTAAGGTCATAAGGGATCAGGAAGGGGCTAGGAATAAATATAGAGAGAACGTTGATCACTGACAGCCTTTGTATTGGGAGAGGTTTGTCTTAGATATTTATTTCGGCCAGGTATGGTGGCTCATGCCTTTAATACTAGCTAATTCAGAGGCTGAGGCAGGAGGATTACGATTTAGGGAGACTGTTTAAAAAAATGAAAAGAGCTGTGGATAGAGTTTAATGGTATAACTCTTTGCCAGCATGAGTGAGACCCTGTATTCAATCCCTAGAACCCCCCCTCCAAAAAAAAAAGAAAATGCATTTTGGATGTTTTAAGTGTCTTTAGGTGGCAGGTATCACCCTCTTCCTGTGTTATGAGGCTGCACATAGCATCCCAAGCACAATTGTAAGTAAATCATATAAGTTTGTTGGAAATGAAAGATACAGGCTTCAGACTTTATTATGTCCACCTTTTGGCTATGACCCAATGTCAGATTGATTATGCTTTCTCCAGGTTTGAAGGATATTGTAAATTCTTATCTGTTAGTAAAATATTATTTTTTGTCTCTCAAACCTCATGTGCTTACCACCAATTTGAATATGGCAATTTGCAGATTATAAATTTGGCTTTTAAATCTTTGCTCTCTATCAGGTTAACATAATTTATTTATAGTAGGTTGAAGTTACTTTACAGATATAATGTTGGGTCCTTTAGATGCCTGCACAATTTTAAACAGAATCTTGAGAAAATAGTACAGTTTAAATGTTTCCATCCAAAAAAATATTTTACAGTAATAACTTCCAGGTAATCCAAAATGTTCATCATAATTTTTTAACACATGATCAGTTTAGTGAGGATCAGTTTTGTGTATTTACTATGTTTTTGCTAGATTAAAAATATTTTCTTCATTTCACACTATATATACAACATTGAATTACCAAAACATTCCTCTTTTCTTTGCTCACAATGCTTTTGAATTTTTTCAAATTTATGACTTTATAAACAACCACTCATATAAAAGTATATGTTTTCTACATCTATATGCAGATTTGGAAACAGAGGCTCTTCTAGTCACAATAATGCATCAAAATCATTAGTACTGAAGTATAAAAAATTTACATGTAACTCATGTTGCTTTTTCATTGGACTATTATGTAATATTTTTTAAACTTTTTAATGAATACATCTGTTTATGGAAATTTGTTTCCTGTTTTGTTTTATCTCAATATTTTGTTTTTCTGACAAATTTCTTGACAAACATTTTATAATAAACTAAAACATCTTTTATTAATTTGAGTAAATTTATATCATATTTGGGGCAAAGTATTTTAGTTATATAGAGATAGAAAAAGATGTGGTTTTAAGTTAAGGCAGCAGATTTAGGTAGGTTAGATCTGCAGTTAGTGGTTTGTGTATTCTTCAAGAATTGAATATATAGGATTTCATAAACTATTTGAATGAAGAAGACAGGCATGGTAAAAAACCCTAGGGATTCAGGAGGCTGAGACAGGATCACAAATTTGAGGCCAACCTCAGCAACTTAGCAAGGCCCTATCACAAAATCAAAACAGAAAAATTTTAAAAAGAACTAGGAATGTAGATCCTACATTCAGTTTAATCCCCAGTTATGTGTGTGTGTGTGTGTGTAGGTATATATGTATTGGTCTCTTTTCATTTTCTCTCTCTCTCTCTCTCTCTCTCTCTCTCTCTCTCTCTCTCTCTTAAATGAAATAACCAGGTTTTAGCAAGAAAACCAAGCTTGGAAAGCCCCTATTGGCTCATACTGAGCAGTGAATCCTAGAAATCAGGAAGACAGGGGGAAAATAAATAGGAAGGATGAATGCTAAAGACATAGACACATACACCCATATCTGTTACTTATTCATTTTATATATTTTTAGGGTTTTTTTCTCAACACTTTATTTTTATAGGAGCATAGAATTATTTTTCCCGTTTTTCCAGAATGGTTAAAATATATATAACATAAACTTCATCCTCAATCATTTTAATTAAATACATTCATAATGTTGTGCCTATAATCATCATCCTCCAGCTTCATAATTCTTTTCATCTGGTAAAACAGAAAATCTATACACATTCAACAACCCATTCCCATCCCACCCCCAGTCCCTGGCAATTACCATTCTACTTTATATATATGTGATTTTTACTACTCTAGATACTTCATATAAGCAGGATCATTACTTGTCTTTTTATGACTGGCTTATTTCACTTGTTTTAAAATAGTATTGACATCTTAACAATATTAAGTCTTCCAATCCATGAATATGAATGTGTTTCTATTTATTTGTGACTTATTTCATTTCTTTCATTGTATCTTTCATTGTACCTTTCATTGTAAAATTCTTTCATCTGCTTGGTTAAGTTAATTCCTAAGTGTTGTATACTTTTTGTTGCTATTGTAAATGAAATTGTTTTCTTAATTTCCCTTTCAATTTGTTCATTGGTAGTGCGTAGAAATACAAGTGATTTTTGTGTGTTGATTTTATTTTCTTGTACTTTGCTGAATTCATGTATAAGTTTTTAATTTTTTTTCCAGAATTCTTATGGTTTTCTACATATAAGATCAAAT